TTGAGACCATCAAAAACAGGCTCATTGGCAATCTCCCTACTCATCTCTGTTGAGACCACCAATAACAGGCTCATTGGCAATCTCTCTACTCATCTCTGATAGCCGTATTCATAGTCGTTCCTTGAGGAATAAGGATCCCTTGTTCCTCGTTCCTCGTTTCGCGTTTCATAGACCTTCCTTTACAGAACAAGGAGCCTTATTGGCCTCCTTAATTCAAGGGTGGTCTCGAGCTTTCTTGAGGATACCTTCTGCACTGTGATTGGCTATTTCCTTTGATATGTCTAGCGCCACAAGCGGCCCGAGTTAGCAGCTAGCCCAGCTCAGGCAGCAAAGATATATGTTATCAATTATTGATATTGTCGGCTGGTTTTAATAATAAATTTTCTTTCCAGGTGTTGACCTTACGCAGTCCAGGTAAAATTATGAAAAAAAAGACAGTGCGTATTTCTTTTACGTTTCGACCCTCATTGGGGTCATCTTCAGAAATGTTTACTAGGTAAACATATATGAACTGTTAAACAATCATTGGTTAGATTTTGTGAAAAATAGTAGGCCAAACCTAAAGCTATAGTTAATAGATCAGCTATGGCTCTTTTTAACTTTTGGCTAATCCTGCCTTTACAGGTAACACACAACCTCTGTTGGTTTGGCCTACTATTTTTTACACAATCTAACCAATAATTGTTCAACAGTTCGTACATGTTTAACTAGTAATAAAACCTTTCTAAAGATGATCCCAATGAGGGTCGAAACGTAAAAGAAATACGCATTGTTGATTTTTCTTAATTTTACCTGGGCTGTGTAAAGTCAACACCTGGAAAGAAAATTTAAGGAGTATCTTGGCTCCCAATGAGGGTCGAAACGTAAAAGAAATACGCATTGTTGTCTTTTCTTAATTTTACCTGGGCTGCGTAAACTCAACACCTGGAAAGAAAATTTAAGGTTTTTTTGGCTTGGCTTATAGTATAGACTACGCGATCCCTATTGTAAACTCTTTGAAAAAATGCCGCTCGAATAGACAAAGAGGGACTGAGGTGGCGGCCAGTCCTGTCACTGTAGGCAATTACATGTCCCTAAAATATACTGTATTATGTCGCGGCCTAGTGATAAATAATCTCACTAGAATTGAGCGGTGAATTCAAATGAGGGATTAAAATGGAATCACGATTTCTGTCTCCAAATCAGAATTCAATGCTTTCAAATACTCAGTCTGTCATTAACGCATAAATAAGGTATATTCTAAACAATTGAGAGAAAGCTTTCTAGCCGCTACACGTGCATAAACATATGGGATACAAAGAATGTAAGCATGGGCCATTTGTTTATTGCTATCCTAACCGAATGAGTTTCTCAGGAACTCTCACTCCTGGCAATAAATCAAGTCACTTGAGAGTATCGACGGGCTAGCGGAATGTTCGGGTTAGGGATGACGCTGTCCATGTGCTTCCCCAAATAAACTAAGGATAGGGTGTACATGAGTCCTTTGTGCGTAAGACAAGGCCCTCGAGCTTGGGCCCGGACAGCAAGGCGCCACACGCTGAGCCTCCACAAAGGGTGTACATACACATGAATGTGTATGAGTGCGGATGCATGCATGAGAAGTATGAAGGACTGTATCCCTTGGGATCCAGAAGGGCAGTTCGATTTCTGGTCTTGAAGGGTGTACTTCGAGTCTATATCGTAGAGTCTATTAGCTAGATTCAGTTAAGATAGATTGATTTAGACTAAATCACATTATAATTAAAGTAAATAAAGTTAGTTATAGTGCTCTCCAAAAGCACCTGCATTTTTATTCCTAAAGCCTTTATTAGTTGAAAACCCATAACATCACCGTACCAGAAATCAATATATATACAGAGGATTGAACACCGTTGGAGTGCTCATCAGAGCTTTGGTGGCTAACGAGCCCACCTCGCCAGATTTACGCAGTCGAATCTGCCGCGAAAACGACAGTGACGACGATCAGGACGTCACAACCGTCCTTCTGAAAGGGAAAGCTGAGGTGTGAGTATGAAACATAGACGCCTTGGAGATTGAAGGAAGCCTTCATCAAGGCGTCCTTCATCCTTGAGATAAGGACGGACTATGAATACGGGTATAAGTGTCGCTGTTAAGATATTGGATCAAAAAGATGGGTCTATTTTATAAAATTGACACCTTTATTACTGATGTATATTTATTTGTTTAACTTAAACATACAGGGTGTTCCGAAACTACCTGACCCGGCGGGTATAGCGGTGTTCGGGAGACTTCACTGATCACGAAAATGACCTTCCTTTTGTCCGGAAGCTTTTAGTTTTTAAATGGGAGCAGGTCAAAGTTGACCAATCAGAACAAGGCGTCAAGAGAAACATAGGCACCTACGAACTCTGAGTTTTCTTCCCTTGCTTTTGTTTCTCGGTGGCTTGTTTCTTGTTTCCAATAGGCATGTCTTCGGCCGACGTCATCCTGCCCGAAGCCACCGAGAAACAAAAGCGAGGTAAGAAAACTCAGAGTTCGCAGGTGTCTACGTTTCTCTTGACGCCTCCCTCTGATTGGTCAACTTTGAACGGCTCCCATTTAAAAACTATGACCTTCCGGACAAAAAGAAGGTCATTTTCGTGATCAGTGAAGCCTCTCGAACACCGCCATACCCACCGGGTCAGGTAGTTTCGGAACACCCTGTATATTACATACTTCTTAGTCGAAAAACGCAAGAAAAATCAAATGCATATGATAGCAAGAATTTAAATTCCTACTGGGGCGTGGTATTCAGCAAAACAGGGTGTTACACATAATGGGACTTTACAAATGGAACACCAGTAACGGGATTCTTTCCTGATCTTGTGTTTATAACAACGTGCGCACCTTCGGGTAGGATTTTTTAACATCTAAAAACTTACATACATTTATTCCATCTGTAGATGGAATAAATGTATTTCTTAATGACGTTTATAAGATGTCCTTTGCGGATTTACGATTTCTATTACATGGAAATGGCGATTCACGATGTCTGTACTACGTATTTCTAACATTTCAGCATCGTGTGAGTTACTTGATGTCTCATTTAAATGCTTTCAAATGGAGAAGAATAACGGAATATAATATTTTTGTTGTTCGTCTTAAAGTATAATAACTGAGTATCATATTCTATTTAATGTTTGAAATTACAATAAGCTTCATCAGCGGGACATCCATTTGGATGATTCTGGTGGAACCAGCAAATTTTAACTTTCCTAATTATTCCTAAATTGCCTTTTCTTTTAACATTTCTAATTGGTTTAATTCCAGGCATTTTGAACTGGACCTTGCCTTCTCTAACTTCAAATATATGTCCGTTATTTTTTAATAACGTCTGAAGTCCTCCACACTCACTTTTTAATTGCTTTAATAAAGAAAGTGGTATCATATTAGCTATTTTATTTATTTCAATGAGACCTCCAGCATTCCATGTAAAGTCGGGTCTTCCCTCGATTGATATCATGCGTGTTCTTTTTAACAATTCCTTAGTGACAATGTTTACGATATCGGCAATGAGATTCTTATCCAATTGCGTGCAATTCCTGACTTTTTCTATGACCTCTCTTGGTATGAAATTCTGTGTCCAACATTGATCATGAATAGCACTTTTTTCGATAACAAAGTTTTGATTTCGTTTTGCAGACCGTGCTGCAATGATCTCTTGAATGATTCGATCTTGTAACTCACTGGATGAATGTGAATATGTTCGTTCCCAACCAATTAGACATATTCTCTTCGTAGACGGTATTCGTAATTTATCCACGTTAGTCTTAAAACCGCATTGTGTGCAGACATTATTCAAATATTGCATATATTCGGAGTACTGACTCATAGCCGCACAATCTCTCTGATATTTTTGACCATCAAATTCATAAGCGCAACAGGGCAATAGGAAGAAACGACAATTATAAGAACTGCGTGCTGCTATTACTGGAATCCATGGTGTCAGTTCGTCTGAATGATTACCGATAAGCCATTCAGTATCGGGAAACAAGCTGGAGGAAGATGGTACTATTGTTCGCACCTATGACAAAAATAAAAACCTGTGTTTTTTTGCACCATATAGTAAAACGCTTATTTTTAGAATACCCACCTCTAGGTGTGTTGTTTTTGGAAATAAATCCCAGATTTTTCGTTTGCGTAAATCGATTCCCAGTCCTGGATGTCCTTCGCTGGCTAAAATGTGCACCAGCAAACCATTTCCGCAGCCCAGATCAACAAACGATTGTTTATTAAGGATGCCTTTTTCTATTCTTTCCTTTTCCCATAGCAGAAGTAGATATGTGGCGATGGCGACATCCTCATACACGAACTTTATAGGATCAGTTGTTTCTGGCCAAATTTTCACCATTTGTGTGCCATACTTCTTCTTAAGGTTGTTATACAGAGTCATATACTTTTCAGAAGATATTAGATTTAAAGAGATTACTCTTACACTATTACAGGGCAAAGTGCTCATCATCCACTTTATTAAACGCGTAAACAATTGTTCTTTCAACCATTTTATGCTCTGTTCATTTTCAACATTTTCTGAATTGTTGATATTAATAGAAATATAACCAATATCTTCAAATTGTATTCTATATGGCCATTTAAGGCCTAATGTATGTTTTTCAGCATAAATAATTTCATGAAGATAAGTAATACTGTGAGCTGCTTTGTCAAGTATTGTAAGTTCGAAAGTCGTTGAAAATTTTTCTGTACTGCGAGGTAATAATTTATTAACAACTATGTAAATTCCCTTATTTTCAGCAGCAGTAATATCAATATTACTGCAATTGTTCACTTGAATATCAGCATAATTGAAAACATTTAATAAGACATCTCCATCAATATTACTTGGATTTTCTTTAAAAATATTACATGTTTCATGAAGCTTTTCTTTCCATGTTGGTAATGAAATTGATTTTTTACTTTGCACTTCTGCAGTCAATATCTTAGTAGAAGCTAAAATCCTACGATTCACTGTGTGAGGACTATTTAGCCATATATATATACCTTTCCAAAATTGAGAAATATCTACATTGATTTCCTGGCTAATAATTGTCTTAAAATCCATTGCAATAAAACTATGATCAACTATCTAAATATCATTAGCAAGAAAGACTCATTCTTTTTAATTTTAGTGTTACTGTTTTTCATACTGAAAAAACAAAGGTATAATTAAAATCAGTTTCTTTTTAAAGAGAAATAAAAATTAAATAAACTTTCAAATACCTTTTGCACAATCCACTTAGCATCATCTAATGCTCTTTGTATAATTTGTTTAACACGTTCTGGATCTGGTTCATAAACATGTTGCTTGAAATTCTAGAGAAAGATAAAGTTGATTCAAAAATTAAAAACTATATTAAAGTATTGCCCAGTGACAAAAGTATTGGATTGGCCAAAAAGTTCCTCCGGTTAGCATGTTTTTATATTGCCAAAAAGCTCACAAACTTTCTGTCCAACCTAATGTAATCACCTTAAAACATTAATGATCGCATGAAAAATAATTGAAGGTTAGTTTTTAGCAAAATAGATCGCGCACTCTTGAATTTTGGAATAATTCCGTGAATGATAGAAACTATTCTTAATAAAACCACGATTGGTTACTCACTTGTTTAATAGAATGTTTGTAAAATTCTTTAGCTCCATGTGGAAGTTTTTGACATTCCCGTAATAAAAACTTGTACAGTAATTTTGGTGAGTCTATTGCCGATGTTCGTAAAACTGCACTACCCATCACCATTTTTGTCTTTTACAAAAAGTATTAAGAAATTGTTAATTATGTAAAATTAATAACTTTTCATTAATTTCGAAATTTTATCACTTTGAGACTTGTAGAACTGTTTCACCCTCGTACGCTGTGGAACTATAACCTTAATTCATTGGAAATGGTACAGTAGTAAATCCCCAATTTACACGGATTGGAGTTACGTGGGATTTATAGATACGCAGTCTAAATTTAACATATCGTAACTACCATTTTAAACGACATATATGTCAAAAGCAATATTTAAGGACAATTTAACTTATGTAGATTGTTATACATAAATGTGGAAACTTTCGGAACAAATTAATCGCGTACTGAAGTCAAAGATTTATTATTGTATCTAGTATTAGAATGCGAGATTGATAGGGGCCTGAGCGGAAGACAGGGTAAGTTCAATTTATCAACCTAAACAGCTAAAAATCAAGCAATAAATCGTTTGTGCAAGCATTTTTACGTGTTCGGAGCAGTATAGGTGTGTTCGAAAATGAGCCAAGAGCGCATAGTGCTTCTCTGTTTATTGCAAGCATTTGCTTAAGACCACGGTCTTAAAGGTATAAGGTATATTATTCTCTTACACTTATTCTCTTACACTATTCTCAGACCACGGTCTTACACAAAGATCTTGCAACTCCCTTGGAGGGGTAGTCTTCTTAGGGGTAAACTGCAGTATACGACTCCGAACTGAAGTTGGCTGCTAGTGACTTAAATTTTTAACGTAGCGCCATCTATCAAATGTAATGCGAATTACATAGAATAGTGGCGCCACCTGATGGGAAAAAAGCGCATCTATCTTTAAAAATTTGAAATGAATATATTTTTACTGTTATCATATATATTATCTTGTTATAAAAATATATTTTCACGAAATATGATCTAGTAATCGCAATATTCCATGTTTGGAGATTTTTTTCGTTTAATTTTCGTGCTACGCCACACAGGTTTGCACCTATTATGTATACATATATTTTGATATGAAGATATTATTACATATTTTTATATTAAATATGTATATATTTAATTCATAATTAATATTATTTACAAATATAAGAATGTATAAGTGCAAGCTCGTGATTGTACATTGAGCATTAAATTTGATCCACTGCTTCGAGATTTTTTTCTACAATATATCGTTTGCTTTCGTAAAACATGTAGAAGCATGATTTTCGTTAGCAGCTCACAAAGCGCGTAACACAAGTGTTCTATTATTTCTTTTGCTTAAATTGGACTGTGTGTGATCGATTGCAATGGTGATACGGTTGGTAGATTTGTTCAAACTAGGTTAGAAACCTTCTTTTGAGGTAATCACCTTTGCACAAAGGTACGGACTCATAGCTCGGACTTTCAAGTGTCCAGTGTGCGATAAGGACATGATTCTATGCACTGCTGAATTTTTTTCGGACAAATATCGTTGGCAATGTCGTAGCTTTTGAGGTAATCACCTTTGCACAAAGATACGGACTCATAGCTCGGACTTTCAAGTGTCCAGTGTGCGATAAGGACATGATTCTATGCACTGCTGAATTTTTTTCGGACAAATATCGTTGGCAATGTCGTAGTTGCAAAACAACGAGATCAGTGAAAACTGGTTCGTTTTTTGGCAAATCGAAGTTATCAATGATCAAAATTTTACAATTGACATATTTTTGGATTCATAAGTACACCCAGATTCTGGCTCAGTGGGAGTTTCAATGTTCCCCGCACACGACGGTCGGCTGGTACTATTTCTGTCGGTTATGGTTAATTTTTTTTCTAATAGGCGGCGTGACTATTCCATGCGATTCACATTATATCCGGCAGATGGCGCTACATCAAAAAACCTAAGTCACTAGCAGCCAACTTCAATTCGGAGTCGTATACTGCAGCAGAGATGAGTAGGGAGATTGCCAATGCAGAGATGAGTAGGGAGATTGCCAATGAGCCTGTTTTTGGTGGTCTCAATTTTTCTCTGGTTTCGGCGCGCCACCTTAGCGGAGGGCCCTCGAAGCAGTTCCACGTTTTTGATTGGTCGAATGAATTCGTATGTTCCTCGAGATCCACGATTTTAAACCGGGTGAACACTCAAATAGGGAGACTTGTATCCAACTTTTTTTTTACAGGATATTACATAAACCGTAGTAATAAGGTAGTCAATACTCTTAATAATCATATGAAGCTCTGGAAATAATAGAGTAAGCAAATAAAACTTAAAAAAAACTCTCGAATGTGGGTAACTACACAAATATAAGTTTGCTAAATAATATATCACAATGACTCGATAGCACACGTGCTTGGTGCTGGATTAATGTCCGAGAGTCTCGAGTTCGAAACTCACGTCTCA